GGATCGAACCGACAACCTTCTGATTGGGGCGACGACCCGCTCTGCCTCTGAGCCACAGCCGCCCAATATCCAAACATGGACATACAGTATACATATAAAGTTAAGTAACAATATAACCAAGGAGACATTTTATTTAATTTGAAATGTTTATTTCTGCAGTATAACAGTTAGATTTTGGTGTCTAGGCTCCAACCTCATTACTCCCCGCAGATATGTTTAAATGGTAAATGGACTGTACTTGTCTTTCAACCACTCAATGCACTGTACACTACGATGCCACACTCACCCTATTCAACACTGATGACAGTGGCTGCCATGCAAGGTGCCAACTGCTCACCAGAATGGAAACTAATCGTTCACACAAACTTATACATTGATGCACAGTGGGAGCAATTTGGGGTTCAGTGTCTTGCTCAAGGACACTTCAGCGAGAGGAGCCGGGGATCGAACTATCAACCTTCTGATTACCGGACGACCGGCTCTACCTCGGAGCTATAGCCACCCCCAAATAGAGATATTTGGCAGTGATGAGCAAATACCTTAATACCTTAAATACCAGAGCCTACAGGTGGATGCTGGGGTGGTGCTCGGGCTTACAGAGCATCAGGTAGCAAAAGCTTACAGAAAAAGCAGGCAGCAATAGTTTACAGAACAGCAGGCAGCAATACTGATGCAGGACAGCGTTGTTGACAGAGCAGAGGGAGACATGGGAAATTTTGCAGCTTAAATAGACCGCCAGATTGGAAAGGTGTGCTTGTTTAGTGATTATGGAGTGTGAGGCATGTAGTGTGTGCAGTGCAGCTCAAGTTGACTGCCTGAACGAGCTCGTAGTCTTCGCTCCATTAAGCAAAGTATTGGAGTAAAATTAAAAGGGAAGTTGGTGAAAGTTCAATAAGACAATCCTTTCTCTCATGTTTCTTCCTTTGAGCTTCTTTCCTGATCTGATCTTCTCCTTCATTTCCACTTTGCTACGTTGTCAAAGTACTTACAGTCTCAATTCTGTCATCACCATATATCACTGTATGACTTCTCATCATTCTGCCTGCGTTCCTCAAGCCAATCAGTCCCTGGATGCTGTTTTTTGAATATGACAGAGCAAACTAACTAAACATGAACCCAGCAGAGAGACAACAGCTTAGCCTTCTGTTCTCATGTGATGATTTTGCATCGAATAAATTTGTTTTAATGGAGAGGATCAAGGTTTTTTGCAGTCCCTTGCTGTGTTCTGGAAGCTGAATCCTGATAGCATTCTACAGGTGGCAATACCATGCTAGCTCCACCCCAGCCTCCTCTACTCCTACTCCTACTCAGTTAACCTGCAGCATGCTAGACCACCAGGCCTCACTTCAGCCTGCTAGTCTCCAGCCTGCTAGCCTCCAGTCAGTTGGCCTCCAGCATGCCAGCCTTAAGTCTGCAACTTGGCCTGCTACCATCCAGTCTGCTAGTTTCCAGCTAGCTTCACAGTCTGCTAGCAACCAGCCTTCACCTCAGCCAACCATCCAGTCAGTTATGCTTGGATTTGTAAACCTGCAGCCTTTCTGTCCTGGTTAGCCCACCTCCTGCCGTTCCTTAACTGGCTAGCCTGCTACCTGTCTGATCTGAGTCGGCCTAACAGCCACGATTTCATGATTCATCTGAGACTGTAATATAGTGTTTTAGAAGCTACCCTGACATTCAGGGGTGGCTGTGACTCAGAGGTTGGGTTGTCCACTAATTGGAAGGTTGGTGGTTCGATCCCTGGCTCCTCTTGCTTCATGTTGAAGTATCCTTTAGCAAGATACTGAACCCCCAATTGTCCTGCACTCTAAAACCTATGTTACTCAAGCGTGGCAAAAATATCATGACACAAACATAAAATACTATCATGCTCATTATGAAAATACTACTAAAATTGGTAGGGAGGGAAGAAATGTCCTCCTACCATTTCAAACTCTGAAAGCTAAGACCACCAGCAAGTTTTTCGCCAAAAGTAACTCCTACAAGATTTGAAGGTAGACAGAGAAATGTAGAATAAAGTAGTCAAAATAATTTTTCTGCATTTAACAAAGATAAACACTTAAATTGATACCCATTTGTGAACCTATGGCATGGTTAGCTGCACTGTAAAAGGTGAGACTGGGGTTAATTAATATTTAATAAATAAATAATAGTAACAAACATAATAAAGAAGACTATGTGCAGTTTGGAATCACATTGAGCTATATTCAACAATTTTGAATTATTTCTTAATTTCATTTTACTTAGTCTTAAATAAATAAAAGCAGCTGTAAATCACTGAGTAAAATGTATTCAAGAAAATTAAAGATGCAGAAAATTGAAAAATTTTACTCATTGGGACGTCTTAGGTTTTAATCACCTTACACTTCTGGTCAAGGCATTTTGCGCCACATGGACGTCTTTCATGCCAGACATTTCTGGGAGTCCCAGATTTTCCCAGAGGTAAAATATTTTCACTTATTGTTAGGTTACAAACCGTTTAAAAGTCGCTGTATCAGTTGAATATTGTTTTGCGTTACTGCAAGCTTTTATTTTTTAAAAGGGTCTTGCCGAAAAAGGAAAAAGGAGTACGGTAGCTCATCAAGTGTGGCTATAGTACAATACGTTTGTCTTCAGATTAATATTTCACTCTGTTTCTATCTGTAGCTCTTACGGTGTGTTCCAGATGTATTTAAGGTTTAAGGGAGCTACAGTGTCATCATGTTTGCTCATCAATAAATACATTGTGAACCATCAGTTAAAGAGTAGACCATCATTCAGCCGGGGATACTACACTCTTTATACTTAATACTGTGATCTTTTGCATGTTCCTGCACAAACTGTACATCATCCATTTAAAACAGCCATTTTGTACACACTGTCTATATATATTTGGATAGTCTATATAAAATTTTGCTTTCATATATTATTGTTAATTTTCTATTTTTCTCTTTATGCTTCCTGACTTGCAGTCTTTGTTTCCCTTCTGTGTTCATTGTTATGCACCAATATACGGAGACAAATTCCTTTATGTGAAAACCTCCCTGGCATTAAAACTCATTCTGACTCTGATCCTATGTTTCAGCCTCTGTGACTGAAGAACAATTAAAATAATTAAACGTTATTCCTAAAGGCGGCAATACAACAAAGTCTAATATGAGAAATAACTAATGCTAACACTACGTTACGCTACAACGTATAAACTTCATGTGTCGGTCGTCTGATGGTTCGACCGTGAGCCTCGTTAATCTGTCTGACCTCACTGAATACACACACTCCTGTCACATACGCTCGTTAAACATGTGTGGTCGGTATTATTGTGTGTGTGTGTGTGTGTGTGTAAGAGAGAACAAGAGAAGAAATTAAAAACTGACAGCAGTTCGTTGATGAAGAAAAATGACATTGTATTAGTATAGATTTCACATTTAAAAATCAATATTTCATTTTATTAAGTGAGTTTTTTTCACTCTGAGCTTTTACAGTCAGTTTATTAGATTCCATGTTTTTAGATTTATTTTATTATTTATGGTCGACTCTGGACTGCATGTGGCTTTCAGACTAATTATTTAATTTGAGTTATTATTGATCACCCTTCTAGTATTGAATACATTGAGTATGTGTATGCTACAGTTAGTTGACTACACTGTATATGCACTGTAATTAATATTTAGTGATGATATGCATGTAATTTAATACATTTTACAGCGTTGCAATGAAAAATGGAGAGAATGAACAACATTTCCTCTAGCACCACCTTCAGGTGAAAATTCCTACTTGTAAACAAGAAATATGTGAAGGATAACTGACAATATTACAAGCTAATCATCACATGAAGCCCACATTTTACCATCCACTGGTTAGATCTTGTTTTGTGCTTTTTAACTCTAGGGATTTTGACCGCGATGAAGGATTTTTCTGTTTGTAGTCATCGGACCGTTAGCAGCAGCTCGACTCACAGCCCCTCAGCGTGGCTCAAGAGTCATAATAATGTTATAAAAAGTCAAATATGAGATCAAAAGTTAAATCCGAACATGTGTTAATATCAGGTGTAAACCAGCTTCTAGACATTAATTAGTCAGTTAAATATTCAATTACGACTCATACATAGTTTTTGAATTATTTAATTATTTAATTAATAAACACATTTATTGCTCTGATAATAGTTATTGGTACTTTTTAGTTAATTGAGCCCACAGTGCTGATTCACACTTCATGCAGTGTAATATTTTAGGCAAAAGTACATAAATTATTGGATTAACCTTTAAGTGTCTCTGTTTTTGTGTTTAACTGCGGTTCCCAAACAATCTAGCAAACAGCAGGATCGTCAGCGTGTTATTGATAGCTACATAAAGCGGCTGTATATTTAACAGCAGGTCCACTGTGTGTTATTGATCAGGGACATAAATCTGGTTCAGGGTCGATCGGTGTCCCAAAAACAGCCACGTCCAGCCGCTCACTGATTAATTAAACCTTTAATTTCCTCAGTCGATGCTTCCTTAATATGCCTGTATTGATCCGGCCGTGTGTGTGTTCCTCATACATCATTAGTGAGCAGTCTAATTAATCAAACTCAAATTGCAATGAAAGATGCACTATCAGAGATTCACTTTCTTCTTCATCTTCACCTGTTATTTTCTGCTCATTATTGCTTCATGTTTTGTTAAAAAGTACCTAATATGACTCTTGTTAGTAACAGGTTTGTTCTAAGATCACATCCTCAGTTATATTGTTCCCCTGTTTAACAATGTCTGCCACTTTTTTTTATTTACGTTTTTATATCCAAATCCAATCGTGTCTTCCTGTAAAACAAAATGTGATGCATGCTTACGTCAGCATGAACTAATATCCT